GAGAGCTCTCCCAGTACTCTTGGTAATCCATCTCCACAAGGGGATTAGCTCCGAGCGCTTGGAGCCTGTTTACACTGGTGCTTTAAAGCGCTCTGACATGCTGGGGGGGGAGGGCTCGTGATTTTTCACAACCCTAACCTAGCAAGTTAGAGTGCTATAAAATGTAAGTGTAGCCAACCTCTTGGATCCTCAGCCTCTTAATTTGGCTATCAGACTTTGACTAATCTTGAACAGCCCCGTTCTTCATTGATGCAGAACGTACTGCTCAGTTCTAGAAAAATGTCTGCTAGCAAGTGTTACTTTTTAAAACAGTCTAGATTTGTTGTTTGGATGCAGGGAAATATGAGTCTCTAGTCCAGCTTTCATTCCCTGTATTTTGGAGTATTTAATGGACTTAAAATCTGAAGAGTTATCCAGTTGTTCTTTAAAAGTTCACCTGGCAGCTACCTCGGCTTAACCATATTTCTGTTGATGGTAGATTGCTTTTTATGCATAGTATAGGTAAATGGTTTATGAAAGGGTTATCTAACATGAAATCCCTTTTTGAACCCTTAGTTGAGTATTCATTCGTTTATTTATCTATTAAAACTATTCATTATTCATCATCCAGAAGGGTGAGCAAATTGCATGCCTAATGATTGACCAGCCATTTACGATTTTGCATAAAGTTAAGGTGGTTCTTAGACCTGATCCCACATTTTTACTGAAAATGATTTCATATTAATCAAAAAACTAATTTACCAATATTTTTCCCAAATACATATGCTAATAAAGGGGAATCCGTGTTACCTGCTTTAGATTCTAGAAGGGTTCTTGCATAATATTTAAATAGAACTAAGAGTTTTAGGAAATCATCCAGATTGTTTTTGTTTCTTCTGTCAAGAATCATATGGGTCACTCTGATCAGACTAACACGGCTACCCTCTGATATCTGATGAGACTATTTCCAGATGGGTTAAACAATGCATCATTGAATGTTACAAGTTAGCAGAAATTCCTGTGCCTGTTGTTGTAGGGTCTCATTCTACTAGAGCTGTAGCAGCATTTCTTGTTTGTGTTAAACATGTTCCTATTGGAGAAATTTGCAGGCTTGCTACTTGGAAATCAGTACATACATTCGTGCTCTCAATGTAGCTTTGAAAGGTGATGCCAAATTTGGCAGAGCGTTGCCTCGGTTATTATTTAATTGGTTCTCTGGTTCCACCTCCCGAGCTTTCAGCACTACTTGTCAAACTACAAATTAGTAGAAATATGCAGAGCCGCTTGAAGAAATGAAGGTTATTTATTTGTAACTTGAGTTCTGCAAGATGACTATGCATATTCATACTTCTTCTCAGAGTCCTATTATGGTTCTACTGGCTTAGTGGTGGAAGGAACTGAGGCAGTAGTGGGTGCAGCGCCCCATTATATAGCTTCACCCTCAGATCATTTGGAAATGGTGAGAAGAGGGTTAGGAGGGGATGCACATTCGTTCTAACAGGCACTGCTTGGAGAATGTTCTACCATTAAACACCCCAAGCAATTCAATACCCATAAGTACCCATGTAAGGGTTGTCTCATCCCCTGTGGTCCAGTCCCAGCATCTGGCAGTCAGATTACTATTGATTACTCAATAGTTGCCCTGTTCTGTTCATTCCCTCTGAAACATCTGGCAGTGGCCACTGTCACAAGACAGGATGCTGGGCTTAGGTGGAACATTTGTCTGTTGCAGTATGGGCATTCTTACGTTATGTTCCTAAGTAGCCTTCATCTCTTGCTTGAATAAACAGATCAGATGGTTTTATTTAAAGATAAACTGAAATGTTTTCAAACATCTGTGTTTTAAAAACTTTAAAAATCCAAAATTGATAATAAAATATGACCTAAAAATGACACATACGTTTTAAAAATAAGATATAAAATGAAAGGGTTTTTGTACTGGTCAGTCATAGATTGAAGAATTTATGTGGTGTCATTAACTGTTATAGGAAAAAAATAGACTTTTTAAGCAAATCAATTATATGAATTTCATATCCAGGTCTAGAAATGCCTGCAACTCTAAGGGAAATATAGAACTCCAAGGGCTTGAACTCAGGTCTTGACAAGTAAGCGAAGAGTAAGAGATTGCAAACACCTCTGATTTAAAATGCATTTATTTGTAATGTTTCACTGTGCCCAGGTATCCTGCCAGAGATTAAAGATCTCAAACAAGAGGCCAGTCAGTGCTGGAAGTTGGTGGTATACTCACCTGGCACTTTTCTGGTGTTCCTGTCACAGTCTGTAGAGTATTTACTATGATTTTTTTAAAAAAATTTTGAACCCTTACGACTGTGAAGAAAATGTACTGAATGTAAACTAGTGCAGTAGTGTCTTGCTGAGTCTGCAGACAAGCAAATAAAATGTTATTTGTCTCAATATTAGCTATCATATTGTGGGTGAGGTAATATCTTTTATTGGACCATCTTGTGTTGGTGAGAGAGACAAGCTTTCGAGCCACACAGGGCTCTTGCACTGTATGTTATATTGTTGAGCATTTTAGCAGAAAAATTCAGGTACTGTGAATAGAGCTTGAGTTAGAATACCATTACATTTCTCAGACTCAATTTTAAAAGGAAATGCAGAACAAAGCATTTCAATTCACCTTTAATTATTTTTATTTCAAAATTCCTCTTCTGGTTTATTTATTACAAAGCTGCTATTTAATTAGGAATAATGTTCTTTGTTACCAACTTAAAAAAAAACAAATCCAAACCCAACCCAGTTTCTCATTTGCAGTGTAGCATTGGTTTCTCCCTGGTTATGACATGTTACCCAAACAAATACTGCATATCTTTTAAATACATCAGTGCAGGCAGAGGTATGCACAGTGTAGTAGGTGTGGAGAGTATAATTTTGTAATCAGTATATTTGAATTGTGTACAAAGAAAGCTATTTGTTCTGATTTGAGCTGATGTGGTTTTCATACTGAGCATACTAGAATTATGAAACCATGGAAGAAACTGTAATGTACATTGGTTAAGTCATTTCACTAAATGTGATCTGTCTAACAGACTACATATTTTCCAAGCTTTGTTGATTTAAGGTTTACAGTGGTCTTTCAATTGCATGAAATTAGTCCTGTTCTTTTATCCTCTCTAATTACTTTGTATATTTTAGTTACATCTTGTATTTTGTGTCTCAGGATAGACTTTGAAGATCTAAAGATTTTATTTCCTTAGTAGGGATGATTGATTTTGCTAATTCATACTACTTTTTAGGACCAGATTCTGCCCTCAGATATGCATAGGCTACTGCTATTGAAACTGATGGAAATTTAATATGCATATCTGAGGACAGGTTTTTGTCCTTCATGTTTGAGTGGAAAACATATTATCAGTGCATTTCTTTACTTTCTTTAGAGTTCACATTTAAAACAAGATGCAGTCTTAAATAGTAGACACATTTTAAATAATAAGAGGAAGTTAGTCGTAAGTGCACACATGTGCACATACTTTATGAACACGCACAGTAGAAGAAAAAGAAGCACAGCTTCATAACAAAGCAAATTATTTGTCCACATTATGAGTGTTTCATCTTATTGTTATACACATGTGAACAGCTTTGTCCTTGTTAAAAGAAGTGAAAAGTCTCTTGGGGAATGTCTATGTGGGGAAATTTACCCACAGAACCATCCTGGTATAATTCTCCATGTGGACATACTTATTCCAGAATAAGAGTGGCTTTGGGGGAAAGGGCTTATTTTATGTTGCTTTCAAAATGACACAAACTAAACCAAAAAAAAACACTCTTATCCTGGAATAACTGTGTCTACACGGCAGTTATACTGGTATAATTATATTTGTATAGTTCTACTGGTAAATTTCCCCGTGTAGGCAAGCTGCTGTTCAGCAAGTGCCTCTACTTTGGACTATATAACTGGATTACTTAAATTTGTGTTCACTAGAATGCAGTAATAATACAATCTTGTATTTTGTGTGTCAGATCACTATAGTGGCACAACAGAATTATGTTTAGCATTTCTACTCAAAATACTCCTTAGGACAAACAGAAGGCTATTTTCAAAATAGGCTAAAATCTTCAGGTGTTTTTTAAAATAAAGAATTTTTTTTCAGCAGGGAAACTTGACAATTGAAAGAAAATCTCTCTGCAGAGGAGGATTTTAAAGATTATAATGCCATATATTATGACAATTTAGCAAAAACATCAATGAAATCCTCAGGGTTTTTTTGTTTTGTTTTGTAAGCTATTCATATTCAAAAGTCACTGTGTTCCTGGAGTTTTGCTTGCAACTACAGAAGTTTTGCTTGCAACTACATTACCTCCATGTAACTTTTTAACAAGCAGAAATACTAGACTGGTGAGCATTGCGCATGTTTAGAAATTCCCTGCAGAACTGATATTGAAAACATTTTGCACTTGGCAGTAGGTAAGCTCTAAGAACTTTTAGTTCATTAATCAGTATATACCTCTCACAGACCAGATTAATAACAGCACATCTGAGGAACAGCAAATTAAAACCAGTTATTGCTGTCTGAGTAAACTTGGTAACAGTTATGTAACTTTTGGCAGAAGTGACAAGTTCCAAAAGGTCCAAAATATTCTGACTATAAATACTGATATTCTACTGATTATTTAAAATAAACACTTCAGAGCAAAATACTAGAGCTTAGGGTCCAAAAACATATTTATATTGCTTTATATAGAGCTTTATATTACTCTAGAATTATTGACTCAGAAGTTGAGAGATTTTAGGAACTGTTTTAAAATGTGTGCAGTAAAGACCTTAAGTAACTAAGTGTGTCAGTAGTAAAGACTACTTTCAAAAACACACAGTGTAAATATTCCAATGACATTCTGCTTTCTTGGTTACACCCCATAGCGTATTATAACGGGAGCCAGAGGAGTGTTAGAAAAAGTAGTCATTTACCTTTTAAAGAATTTGAACAGGTTTCAAGAACGTCTAAGACTTTTGTTTTATGCCATAGTTATTTTTATCCAAAAACTTTTTTTGCCACACTTACATTTCCCTTTAGCTTTTTCTCTGGGGTCTCTTAATCTGCAGGTGATTCCTGAGGATTGGTAAATACAAATAGTTACTTTATATCTTTTCCATTGTTCTAGATGGTTTAATATGTTTATCTATTTATCCATCTTGAAAAATGCATAGGGAGAGATGAAAAGTGTACACTTCGTTTAAACTGTTGATATTTTTTAATTCTGCTTTTTTCTTCAGTCCTAATAACTAGATTTCAAGTTTAACCATTTTGATTTTTCAAATATAAAAACCTTAAGTGCTTCTCCATTTAGCATAAATGCAGTTGTAAACTAGGATTCACAATATGATTTATGAAACACTTCAGGGGCTTTGCAATTTAACCAGTCATTCAGTAATTAACTTTCATTCTCTTAAATTTTAGTCCTGTAGTTTTGTGGATGCATTGGGAACACACCACTAGCCAAATGTACATACAGCTATCCTTTATTATACATAGTTAAAGCTTTTAAAGGAAAGGAAAATATGAGTATTTGGCTTCAAGAATTTGGAATTAAACAGCTTGATTGTCGGGCAAGTAACAGGTTTAATGTTGTTTTGAACCCATATATGGCTAATATTCATGTTTGTTTGTACAGCTGGAATAATTGTTTGTTAATAGAGAAAATGCAAATAGTAGTCTTAGATAGAAATTCCCCTAATAGAACATATTAGTTGGAGTGATGTGTACTAATAACTGTTTGAGTTGTTGATTATGCTGGTCTGTTTTCGTTTAAAATGGTTTTACTTGGATATCCATTTTCTAGCTCTAGTAGTGCTAGCTACCAGTACACTCTGTGAAGTTGCGTGAAATCCTGGCTCTATTGAAGTCAATGGGAACTTTGCCATTAACTTCGATGGGGCCAGGGTGTTACCCATTATGTTCAAGATACACTAACTACATAGCATAAAGAAAATTATTTAGTATATCTGCTGATTTTCTATAACCATATATGTGCACTAAGTCATTAAGCTAACCTAAAATAAAATTTGCAGATGCAGTAGAATAAAAATTTGACCAGAAAGTATTTCAGAACAACTCAAAACAAATGAACTGGTTCATGCTGTTATGATTTTCCTCTATGTTAAACTGTTCCAGCGTCATAGAGGTTTTTAATGATTATTATCAGATGCTACAGAAATTAGTTTAATGTTTGAGAGTTGTCAGATAACTCTTTAGGATAGTATTGTATACATAAATTTATCAGTCTCATGCAGAATTGCATATATATATATATATATATATATATCACACACACACACAACATCCACATGTAGACTTGCTTGCAAATAATTTACCTGTGGATTTGCAATTAAGGTTAAATAGAAAACTTACCAAAAACAAATTTTGCTGCTGCTTTTGGCTTCTACAGTAGATTAAAAATCCAGAAGTCAACTTGTTTTTTCTTCTTCGTGTTACCAGTGTTTTTGTTTGTTAATTTGTAGTTCTAGTGAAAACGTTTTTTCTTGTCCTGTCAGATCCAAACTGTATTAAGGAATTGATCGTCTTCCTGCAGATTTAATAGAATAAAAAAATCAAGCTAACTAAATCTAAGAAACATAACTGAAGTTCCAGTGTATTCTATTCCAGAAAAAGGGATAGTAGTGTGTTTGAAGCTGCTGTGTCTTACTGTCACATGCAGAAATGCACTAACCAGCTACAGCTGACCCAGATTCCATATACAGTACGCTTGGACAGTTTTCCTTTTCTTAAACACGCACTAGACTTAGCTGTTCAGCCCACTTCTGATGTCACTGTGAACTCACTGAAGAGCAAACAAAACTCCTTAGGATTTCCTATCATAGCCTTTATGAAAGGGCAGGGGGAGGCTGAAGAGCTATGGACAAGGAAAGATTGTTTGCTGGTTAGAGGGAGGGCACTATATGGAAACAGTCTGTGCAAGAGTTCAGCAGGCAATTACAAAACTAATATTTTATTTCACAGCCTAAAGATGCCTTTCAAGTTGTTACAGTACTGGGCTTCATTTCGAAGAAAGATTCTTTCAGACTGATGAACTCAACTTGTGTTCCCAGGAATAAAAGAGGCAGACTGACTGGGTACAACAGGAAAAATGAACCATTTATAGTCTAGAAGAATGTTGAGCAGAATGTCACATTCAATTCTTGAAGTTCACTTAATAAGAAACAGTTTTAGCTGTTGTTACACTCACAAAGACTCTGAAACATGTGGAAAATGTTAAAGCTATGTTTGGTGTTGAGTAGGTATTAGAATATTTGAAACCATCTGATTAGTATTAAAAGAAGTAGAAGCCACATGGATTACATACTTTTAAGAAATGAAGGATACCGTTGTCAGCTTTTAATTCTGTCACTTGGCAGTTTGTGTACAGGAGTCTATTCAGTTTGGGGTTTTGTTTAGTGCAGTTGTCAGTTTCTTCAGAAATGACAAATTAATTAAATTCTATGGTTTGTTTTTTCTTTTAAAATTGTTTTAGATTTGATAAATAGGTCCAAGGATCTTGTATTTTGCAGAGGAGTTCTCTAGAAAGGTATTCTTAATTGTGCTAAAGATAAAAAGGCTGTCACTTAACTTTAAACAAGAAATAATTTAGATATCTCCTTCCAGAAATAATCTGTTCACTAATCCATAAACTCATAACCAATACTACACTTTTGTTCCTTATGGATCTCTGTTCTTTGAACCAGTAAACATTATTCACCCTTCTTTCTATTTTAGATAGTACACTGTTCAGGGCAGGGACTTTCATTAACTATCCCTGGACACTGCCTAGCACAATGAGACCCAACATGGTTAAAGCCTTTAGGTATCATCAAAATATAAATATTAATAATAATTTCTGACAGTTATTAATTTATCCTTTTAATAAATGAATATTCTAATATTAGCAGAATACAAAATCCTGAATTAAAAATTAGATGAAAATAAAATTAAATTCAATGTCAGATTCTATTTAATAACTTTCTATGAACTTTTTTGTCACCTTTCAGCCAATTGGCTTTTAACTTGCTTCTGTGTGCATGCAGATTCTGTTTGTATATTAATATTGGAGCAATGCCCAGAAGCCCCACTCAGGACTGAGAGCTCCACTGTGTTAGGAGCTGTACAAACACAATCACTGCTCCAACTAAGTGTGTTTTTTTTAATGTTCTTCCACCTGTAAAGCCAAACATTTTTGGGTTCCTCTGACCCTAATTATACAGGTCTCAGAGAAAAGAAACATATAACTAATTTTAGAAGTCCCATAAGTATTACCTAAAATAGCAATTTTTTTGTACAAAGTATTGAATTTAAGGTTGGATGTATTGAGACCTTCCAGGGCTAGAAGCGAGTGCTTTGTCTCAGTAGGAAACTGAGATTTTCCCCATTCCAAGGGTAATCTATGAAGTTTTTCTCACCCTGCAGGGTCTGTTATATTGGGATATTGCCTGTCCTGCACTTCAGACTGTATCTTGGGGGACGAAACGAAATCATTTCTGTAACAGGTTGTTTTTAAGTGGTAGCAGCATCGAGCTGCTCAGAAGTTTACAGTGTTAGCATAGTCACAGTAAAGACGGATTAGCGAGCCGAATATAGGCAAAGCAGTCAAATTTTCTTATGATATAGATATCTCCTGGGTGGGGGGAGGGGTGAAAGTATGTGAGAGCATCCCTACAGTGAAATGTGCAGACCATGAGAAACTCTTACCAGATGCTGAAACAACAGTAGATGTAGAAGTGGTAAATAGAAGACATAAAGTTCAAGCCAAGAGAAGAGATCTATGCAACCAGTGTGGTAGAAGAGCAGCTGAAACAAAAGCATTTGCTACTGCAGAATCCAAAATGAGGAAATTTGAGAGAAATGTCCTCAAACTTACCAGAAATAAAGACTTTCCTTTTTCCCATAGTTGTGCACAGTTTTGCTTACTGGTTTTTAGTGGAAAAAGGCATTAGGGATAGTTATGATAAATAGCAGCCTGCTGTTAAATCATGAATAAAAAATAATGGCAAATGTCAAGGGGATAAAACCCCATGCATAACCATCATGCCCTTACCCTAGACAGATGTTTGATATTATATCTATCCCTGATAGAGAAAAACTCAGGGTTCCATCTTTTCAGCACTTTTGAATTCTTGTGTAACCAATAAGCTATTAGTAAAATGAATTTTAAAATGGTGTGGCTATATTGGGGCATGTATATATTTAGAATGAAATTCACCCATCCCCACACAAAACATGAGGCTTTGCACTGATAACTCAGCCAGTCTTGTGATGAAGATGAAATTCAATAGCCTTTTTTCCACTCCTTACAGTCCGTTCTTCACCCACCTTATTTGTAGATAGTGAGGGCCCCTCTTCCAACATGCAAGGGAATTAAAGGAAATGTGATGCAAGAGTCGTGTTGGTGAGAAGGAGTAGTGTTGCATTTGTTGTGTCAATAAATGGTCAGGGCTGGGACAAGGCTAATGGAAATGGAGAGGAATACATGGACTTTGATGTCGTCTTTTACTGCTTTTTTTTCCCCTCCTTCTTCCCACACATTTATGCTGCTGTTAAATCCTGCTTGCTTTAACTCCAGAGTTGTGAGCATTTGGGACAGAGAATAATGAAGCTGCCAGTGGTGAAGGAAGAAGATGGAAGCTTTAAAGATGAGACTTGGAATTAAGGCACTAAACACTCATCATCATTAAAGATCCTATAGAGCTTTTACAAAGTGTGGGGAAGTGGCAGGGGTGCTGAAACAGTTTGTATAGTGGGGGTGCTGAGAGCCATTGAAGCAAAATGTGGACCCTGTATATGATGGAAACCACTTCAAGCCCGGGGATGTGGCAAACCCCCTCTTCCCCCCCACCCCAATCAGCCCTAGTTCCATCACCTATGGGGAGAGGGTGTTAATCCAAGTGTCCTAATCAGATTTCAATTTGAGTATACTCTTTGCCTAGCAAACACTTTCCCGGTTCCTGCAGTTTGAGAAGTTTTTCTTTTCTTTTTGCTGGCAGAGAAAGGGAGATTTTTCTGTTGGTCTGTTTCAACACAGCTGAGTTGGAGGAATTAAATATTCATAGATTCTAAGGGCAGAAGGTAATCATCTAGTCTGATAACTATATATAACAGGCATAGAACTTCCTCCAAATAATTCCTGTTTGAACTAGATTATATCTTTTAGAAAAACAATCTTCCAATCTTGGTTTCATAAATGCTGATGATGAAGAATCTCCACAACCTTTGGTAAAATGTTCCAATGGTTAGTTAACCTCCCCTGTTAAAAACTTACACCTTATTAAATTTTATCACATTGAAAATGTTTAACAAAGTTCATGTTTTTGAACATTCTGTGTTGAATACCACTACAGGCTTGTCAAGTGAATGATGATTAATTATTGGGATGACAGAAGCTTAGAAATGAGACCTGGCATAGTTGCACATAGTTTGATACTTACTTTGCAGATTCTGAAATGTTATATGCTTCCTCTGTCAAAGACTAAAGGTCAGATTGTGCCTGGTCCCTGTATAATACACAAGGAAAGCTTCCAACCTTCCATTGTGCCTGGCCCCGTGAAGAGAATGCAAGTCCTTATACTCAAAAAGCACAAAGATTTAAGTGGGCTAGTACTGCTGCTGGAGCTGTTCACTGCAAATAGGGCTGAGAAAGGAGTAAGGCAAAACCACTGGACAAGAGATGAAGGGGAGAACTTACTGAATCGTCCAAGGGGTGGCACAGCAGTTCCAAGCAATATTGTTTGTGCCTTCTTGAGGCACAAACCAGCAAAGAGCTCTTGCAGGCATAGGGCTTTTTCTCCTTTGCCCCTGTAGCAAGACAAAGATTAAATGCCACAGTGGATCCTTAGTAAGTGTGAGCAGAAGTACATTCAAATTCAATAATTGCTTTTTCTTTTAAATTTAAAACATATAAATAAAGGAAATACTCACTCTAATCTTATTCATTCAGGTATTTATCTCTCGGACTTGACATATATTGACTCCGCATACCCATCTACAGGGAGCATTCTGGAAAGCGAGCAGAGATCAAATTTAATGAACAACATACTTAGAATAATTTCAGATTTTCAGCAGTCCTGTGAATATGGTAATCTAGCTCATTTATTTCTTTTGCAATATTACTGAGGGCAACTGATTAAATAAAAATGTTCATCTTCTACCGTGCTGTTATTTAATAAGTCTTAACCAATTAATGTACCATTCCCATCTAAAACCATAAATCCTATTAAAACCAAGTTCTGGAATTGTTGGGTTATCCTCTCCTGTCAGCAGGCAGAGATAGAATGAGACTTACTTATCCTCTACTTATCTCTTCTGTGTTTTCAAAATACATGCTGTGAAGATGTTCAAATCTGGCCTTCCTTGGGTGCAGGGGAGGTTAGCCCAGGCATGGTTATGGATGAGGGGAACAAAAAACTGCTAAACAGTGGTGAGGGATCGTTGTATTTTATGGCCCCAACTAAAGACAGCAAGAGAAATATCTGTTTGTATACAGATGTTTTCAAGAAAAACCCTGTGTCTAACAATGAATGACATAGTGATAACTGATATAGTGCCTCTTCTCTAGATATTCCTCTGTTGCCTCATGTACAAAAATACTTGAACTCAGTTCAATACATAGAAGAGCTACAAAAGTTTGTGGAAGATGACAATTACAAGTAAGTATGAAATTCTACATTTCCTTTTAAAAAAGTGAGTTTTATGTAACAGAAACCTATTGAATACAATAATGAGCA